TAGTCTTGACCCGTGAAGCTCTTAAACACAGTGATGATGGACGCTCCCCTGTTACTGTATGTCTAGTATAACCCGACTACCTGTGGTGTACGATAACCTATGTTGCATCCTGACCTGTGTTGCATCATGACCTAACCTAACCCCAGGAAGATGTGAGCAAGATAGGGATGACAGACAGACAAGATGATGGTGTAGACAGGATAACACACAGCGGGGTAAGCGACAGACAGACAAGATGATAGTGTACACAGGACAACAGACAGCGGGGTAAGCGACAAACAGACAAGATGATGGTGTAGACTGGACAACGGACAGTGAGGTAAACGAGCGACAAACAGACAAGATGATGGTGTAGACTGGACAACGGACAGTGAGGTAAACGAGCGACAAACAGACAAGATGATGGTGTAGACTGGACAACGGACAGTGTGAGTGAAACGAGCGACAGACAGACAAGATGACGCTGGACAACGGACAGTGAGGTAAACGATTGACTGGACAGACAGACGGACAGACAGACAAGATGATGGGTAGACTGGACAACGGACGGTGAGGTAAACGAGCGACAGACAGACAAGATGATGGACTGTAAACGAGCGACAGACAGACAAGATGGGTGTAGACTGGACAACGGACAGTGAGAGGTAGCGACAAACAGACAAGATGATGGTGTAGACTGGACAACGGACAGTGAGGTAAACGAGCGACAACAGACAAGATGATGGTGTAGACTGGACAACGGACAGTGAGGTAAACGAGCGACAGACAGACAAGATGATGGTGTAGACTGGACAATGGACAGTGAGGTAAACGAGCGACAAACAGACAAGATGATGGTGTAGACTGGACAACGGACAGTGAGGTAAACGAGCGACAGACAGCCAGCCAGACAGTCAGACAGGGTGTGGGTGAGAGGATCGTGACGGTGGCTGGCTGGGCAGGATGATGCGGCCTGTGTTAGCGCGCGGCCCACTGTGTAATATATCTATAAACTATGCATATGTTTCCCTCGCCCAGTGGCCCACAAGAGCTACCTGGCTGTGGGGTTAGTGTAGCTGTGACGACCTAAAGGAGGTGTGGCGTAGCATACTCTGTACCACTCTTCCTTCCTCTCGCCACCAGGGGTATAGTTGTGCCTCGTGAGGACACTGTTGATGTAGCATGTATCACTCTGGCAGAACACAGTGTTAATGTGTCAGTCAGTATCAAAACCGTGTTAATGTGTCAGTCAGTATCAAAACCGTGTTAATGTACCAGTCAGTATCAAAACCGTGTTAATGTGTCAGTATCAGAACATAGTGTTAAACTGTTAATGTACCAGTCAGTATCAGAACACAGTGTTAATGTACCAATCAGCACCCAAACAGTCACGCCAGTTACCATTAATGAACGTTTACTAAGATATATGGTGGTAGAGATGAACGTGCTGGAGGAGGTGAACGTACACACGGCGACCATTCTCACGAGAAGGAAAATTTGGACCTAATGAACGCCACCTTAATAATAATCCTCCGCGACTCGAGAGGTCACATGGCCTCGGTAAGAACTACTTCACAAATTGAGGTTTGCATCTTGAGGCGCGGCGCACTACCCCGGGGTGTATAAAAGTTATAACCAACACGAGTCTGGAGGGGCGTTTCTTGTGGAAGTTATCTATGGATACTCAGCCATTGTGTGAGTGTGTGTATGTGTGTGTGTGTGTATAGTATCAACCACGGGTGGGTGCGGGGAGGTGCTATAAGCCTCCCCTCCAAAGATAACAAGCGTCACACCGCCCACCACACGGTAACACCCGAGACTCCACACTCGCCACATAACACGTGTCATGACCCTCTCTCAGCTTCACCAAGACCAGAGACCCCGTGTTTAAGTCCTTCATGGTCAGAGACCCTATGTATACCCCCACCCCTTCCCCCATGATCAAGGACCCCGTGTGTGTAAGTCCTCATGATTTATGGGGTAATAACAAGGGCGGATCCAGGGGGGTCCGGGTTCCCCTTAGTCATCAGAAAATTCCAATACCTTTTCTTCATTGCAGTATTGCACTCAGGCGTTTTTGTATAGCAAAAAGTAATTACCACTGACCTCAGAATCTCTTAATGTCAAGTGCACAAGACCTCAAAATGCCCATGATATTCGCCAGATTTAAAAAATAAATAAATAATAGGGGCTTACAGCGCTCGCCGTGTTCCCCCACCCACATCTTCTTGGACTGGACCAGTGGACCACCCCTCCCCTTTTGATATTCCTGGATCCGCCTCTGAATAACTAAGCATTTTCCAGCTCGGTTTCCCTTTTACGTAAACATTCGAAACATTTCACTTCTACAACACGAAACACTTCACCGATGACACTCCTAAAAGTTAACCTTAGACTCCCAACAGTTCATAACATTAGCGTAACAAGAGGTGACGGCGCCATCTATAACTGGTCCCCTTGAACTATACGAGTACACAGAGAACGATCCAGATGGCTTCTATACTTCACACTAACACTAGTAACTAAACAGTCTTTACTTAAGGATAAAAAAAGATTACCATGGGAGTACCTTACCAGCATTGAGGCGATATAATAATACGGTTTACGCCAACGAACTAGTTCCTTAAATCAGGGTTATGTTTTCACTATTACACAACTCCTCTGATTGTATTTATGGTGGCGATTTGTTTAGTTTTTGACGAATATCCCCCGTCTCCTACCTCACTATCTGTCTCCTACCTCACTGTGTCTCCTATCTCACTGTCTCCCTCCTCGCAATGTCTCCTACCTCACTGTCTGTCTCCTGCCTCACTATCTGTCTCCTACCTCACTATCTGTCTCCTACCTCACCATCTGCCTCCTCCTGTCAGCGTCATCCCCCGCAGAGGCTCAACGCCACGAACGTAATTATCGACCATTCTTGCCCGGAGTAACCTGGTCAAAATAATCATATACACACATAACGGACTATATAGAGGAAATCCGTTATATGGAAGTGTAACTGTACTCACAGTCGTACGTTCAGTATTTCTCCCCAAACTGTGTATAATCTATTTGTGAGAAGACACGTAATTATGGCAGTTTCAGAACAATATGGATGACCTTATGATCACGAAGTCAATTAATTCTCACGTGTAAAGGAACACCTTCCGACCTACACTCATTGTGGAAGACTTTAACTGTTTGTATAGTCTTATTTAATTCATTTATAAATTGTTACTTTCAAGATCCCTCTCTCGCTGTGAATAAACTAATATTGCTCAAGACTGTTCGTCTTATATTATCTCACTACTGTACAGAGATTCGGTCGGTTTTGTATGAGAGATTTTCCTGTGTTTATGGTCGTTGAAGTCGTTCCTTCACTCTGGCAAAATATGTTCTAACATCATTAATGTTCATAAGACAAGGCCAAACGATGTAGAAAATGACGGCTATAAAACGAATACTGTACAGCGTTGATCGGCGGTGATGTCATCAGTTTCGTGGTTGTGTACTCTTCAACGCGCGGGGGCGACAAACAATGGCCAGTACACGTGAATTTCGTCGTATTAAATTAACTGAAAATGATGTACCTGGGGCACGATTTATCCACAGTGATATTACACAACACTAACGTTATACCAGGATTCTGGTATAATGTTAGATTTTATTGACTATGTTCCTCCTTACATTTCTTTATTGACTCTACCATAAACCCCGCATCGGGAACTAACGACTTATTTGGTTTAAATTTATCTATTTGTTATTAATTTTGTAACTAAGCACTACCAGTTGACAATTTGTTTTGTTCACTATCGTAGCTACTTCGGGGATCAGATTTATCCTTAGTGAAAACTGATATTGATATTTTTTTTAATATTGCTTACTTCCCTCTCGTTATCAATAGCTGCTCTGAATCTGGCTGTATTAGCACAGTCTTTCATAGCCTTTTGGTCGATACATTTGGACAATCCTTTGGAATTTGTCCCCAATTCGAGTTTAGCTCGTCTTATATCTTTGACCTTTCTGGTTAGTTCACTAACATCATTTTGAAGGTAAACGTCATCTTCTTTATTCACCTACCTTTTAATATTCTTTAATCGCTCTTTCATCAATTAAAGTCGACTTTCAGTGTTGTCAGATATTCATAATGTGTCTTGTGTGTTATTTTGACAACAACTGGATAATTACAAGGAGTGATTGTGACCTTGGCGAGACGTCCATGTTGGCAGCTACCAATTTTTTTGGATCATTCCCTCCCGACTGAAATTTGTATATTATTTTCTTGTGGTAACACTTATGATCAAAATTAAGGCGTGAGATCCACACACACTGTACCGTCTCTCTGGTGGTGTCAACTAACAGGTTATCTTATCTTGTGTCATAAACCGGCGGAATAGTACATCAGGAGCTGCCAGTTCACTGGCCACTTTCCCTCCACTGAGGTAAGACTCCCAACACATCCATTACGGTTTACATAAATTTCGGTATTCCTGTGTTGGTCTCAGACATGTGAGGTGAGGTCGAGTTACTGTTCGTCTCCTTACGGTAACCATGGGAGCTAGGGGTCACCTGCATATTATCTTAATATAGTCCTCAGTGTATGTCATCTACCTATTAAAGTACACCTAATCGCAGTTTCTGTACGCGTGTAACTCACTTTGTACTTCACAAAATTCAACTCCAGAAGGTGGCTAATATCTGCTAAGACTGGCACTGGGCGCCACCCCTGGACACTCACTGGTGTTGTTACTACACACTAACTCTACTGTCACGGTCGTTTACTTTACCGCCCGCATTACCTCGTTCACGTTTCTCCATGCAAATAATTACATTGAATTATCTCGTAATTTTTAGAACACCTGCAGAAGCTTTTACCTAAGCAGGCAGGGCACATTGTGTTAAAATTTGCTGTACTTATCTGCCACCTGTCTTGCTCGTCATCTAATACGTCAAGATAGTTTTCCTTCATATTACCCCTTCCCCCCCTCCCCCCGTTTCAGAAAATGTCTAAACTACATTTTATTTTTTTTGTTTTACAGTGTGAGGAGCGTCAGCGGGCGAGCAGGACGGGCCTCCCCCACCGCCACATTATACACCAGGTACAGTAAGCTGTGTGTTGGTACTCTGTCATCTAGTGCACCTGCATGTTGGTAATCTTGTTATCATTATGAATACGGTAATGTCCTTGTAGCAGACTATAATATGAAGATGGAGCGCGGAAGTCGAGTGGATACAGCCCTCAGCCCTGTTCCGGCAGTCAGTGGTTCGATTCCTGACTAAGTAGGGAAGTGAAGGCAGTCGTGAGGGATAAGGGCCATGCTGCCTCCTTGTGTACCGAAGGCTCAGTATAGTGTGCTTCATCCACACGTCCCTAACAGGCAGACATACCTATGGGACCCACTTTCACAATGTAAGATATCACCAGGTGTTACACTGACCCCAGCCTTGAGTCTAGTTGTGTATCAACGCCCGGGATGTGTCTAGTAGTGTATCAACGCCCGGGATGTGTCTAGTAGTGTATCAACGCCCGGGATGTGTCTAGTAGTGTATCAACGCCCGGGATGTGTCTAGTAGTGTATCAACGCCCGGGATGTGTCTAGTAGTGTATCAACGCCCGGGATGTGTCTAGTAGTGTATCAACGCCCGGGATGTGTCCAGTGGTGTATCAACGCCCGGGATGTGTCCAGTGTGTCTCCTGTTTTTATCTTTTTTTTTAAATAGAAGTCAAAACTCACTCTCCAAAATATTCAACAGTTTCATATAGCCCGACTAAGACCTACACTTGTAAAACTCAACACAGACCAAATGTGGGGATAAGTTAGCGGAGCAGAGATAGCAGTCTCACGTCTTGGCCAGCGTACAGCCAAGCCTTAGCCTTCCCATTATCGTTAAATATCTAATATACTGACGTGACCTAAACTATACTCATGTCTCTACTGCCAGGTCTCTGTAATAATAATAGTTTGATAATTTCCTTCACTATACAAACAGTTACTCTCGTGTTGGAATATTTTACTGGTAATTTTAGAAGAAAATACATAGAGGTGTTTCTTCTAATGTGGACGAGTACATGGGAAGGGAGGCTGCAGCTATACTATAATAACTGTACCAAAATATTATTAAATACATGTGGTGGATCGGGCCGCCTCCTGCACCACCTGGAGGGCCGGGGCCTGGCGTCACCTGCCAGTGGAAGGGAGGACCTGTTCACTCACCATCACACACACACACTCACCCACCATCACCTACCACGGCCGTGTAGTGAGTCACTATAATGAGTGACTGTAGTCAGTAGCCATGTAATGAGTGACTATAGTGAGTGACCGTGTAGTGAATATAATGAGTGACTGTAATAAGTGACAGTAATGAGAGACTTTAGCGAGTGGCCTGCCAGAGAAATTTTCTCAGTGAGAGAAGACAAACGTTCATAAAGCTGACTAACGCAGCTTAGACTAAGAACGAGACATTAATAAAGCGGTCGTTGTCGAGAGGTAATAAATACACCAAATTACTAAACAATGAAAAGTAAAGCCAGATAATGTACTGTATACGAAGACGTAAGGCGGGACCACTAGGCAGTACAGCGGGAGTAATTAGTCAAGCTGACGTGTGTTGACGAGCCTCAAAACAAACTACTGATTAGTAAATCGTTTAGTTGCCAAATGATTTGTAATTCAGGACACATCCTCGCATTCCACCACGGCTATGACACAGCCAATGGCGTTGATTGGTGACTGCAGCATCGTTTATTATTGGTTAACCGAGTGACTCCACAGTGCGTGTCACAGCTACCAATGGCCTCCATTACAATTATTTAAACAATTTGAATACAAGATTATTCATGGCTCTCCTAATGAGTTAATTTACCATGCGGGGAAGTGAGTGGGGGAGGTGTGCCCCCACAGGTACTGTGACCGTCTGTGGGGAGGTGAGTGGGGGAGGTGTGCCCCCACAGGTACTGTGACCGTCTGTGGGGAGGTGAGTGGGGGAGGTGTGCCCCCACAGGTACTGTGACCGTCTGTGGGGAGGTGAGTGGGGGAGGTGTGCCCCCACATGTACTGTGACCGTCTGTGGGGAGGTGAATGAGGGAGGTGTGCCCCCACAGGTACTGTGACCGTCTGTGGGGAGGTGAGTGTGGGAGGCGTGCCCCCACAGGTACTGTGAGCCGTCTGTGGGGAGGTGAGTGGGCAGTGTGCCCCACAGGTGCTGTGACCGTCTGTGGGGAGGTGAGTGGGCCCCACAGGTACTGTGACCGTCTGGTGGGGGGTAAGTGGGCAGGTGTGCCCCACAGGTAGTGGGCCTTGTGACCGTCTGTGGGGGGGGGGTGAGTGGGCGAGGTGTGCCCCCACAGGTACTGTGACCGTCTGCTGTTTTTTTTCTTGTTGCCTTGTATACTGTGATGACACATACCGGGCGGCCACTCTTCACTCCGTGACACTGGTAAACTGTGTGACGCTGATACACCGTGTGACGCTGGTACACTGTGTAACGCTAGTACACTGTGTGACGCTGGTACACTGTGTGACGCTGGTCTAGTAGGCTGGGGCAGGGTGTATGGATGGTCTGGTAGGGCTGGGAGTCGGACACCAAATACTTTATGAGTGTGTGGCTGGAATACCTGGAGGAACCCCCCCCCCTCTGCCTCCTTCACACTAATTCTCTCTTATCAGTTGGTAGACGGTGGTAGTAGTGGTGGTGGTGGTGGTGATGGTAATGGTAGTGGTGGTGGCTGCGGCGGTGATAGTAATGGTGGTAGTGGTGGCGGCGGCGGCGGCTGTGGTTGTCATGGAGGTGCTGGCGGTGGTGGTTGTGGTAGTAGTACTGGAGTACTGATGACTGTGGTGGTGGTAGTGGCTTTGGTAGTTGGGTAGGCCCTACTGGTGGTTGTGGTGATGGTGGTAAAATTGGTGATGATGATGATGGCAGTAGTGGTAGTAATGGTGGCAGTACTGGTGGTGATAGTAACAGTATTATTGGTGATGGTGACAGTACTGGTGGTGATGGTAACAGTATTATTGGTAATGGTGACAGTACTGATGGTGATAGTAACAGTATTATTGGTAATGGTGACAGTACTGGTGGTGATAGTAACAGTATTATTGGTAATGGTGACAGTACTGGTGGTGATGGTAACAGTATTATTGGTAATGGTGACAGTACTGATGGTGATAGTAACAGTATTATTGGTAATGGTGACAGTACTGGTGGTGATAGTAACAGTATTATTGGTGATGGTGACAATACTGGTGGTGATGGTAACAGTATTATTGGTAATGGTGACAGTACTGGTGGTGATAGTAACAGTATTATTGGTAATGGTGACAGTACTGGTGGTGATGGTAACAGTATTATTGGTAATGGTGACAGTACTGGTGGTGATAGTAACAGTATATTGGTAATGGTGACAGTACTGGTGGTGATGTAACAGTATTATTGGTAATGGTGACAGTACTGGTGGTGATGGTAACAGTATTATTGGTAATGGTGACAGTACTGGTGGTGATGGTAACAGTATTATTGGTAATGGTGACAGTACTGGTGGTGATAGTAACAGTATTATTGGTAATGGTGACAGTACTGGTGGTGATGGTAACAGTATTATTGGTAATGGTGGCAGTACTGGTGGTGATGGTAACAGTATTATTGGTAATGGTGGCAATACTGTTGGTGGTGGGACAGGAGTCAGGACCGCGCACCACCACATAACATGGGTCTGGGGGCACCGCTCTGAGGGTTTGTTAGTCGTTGTTACCTGGACGTGACCGTGATAGTACACGCTACACCTGCCGAGCGACGCTGCCTGAGTACGATGACGGGGTGTTGTGTGTGTGAGGTGGTGAGACGCCATCACTCTTGTTACACCTCCACGAATTAATGGAACTCCCAATTAATGTAGCAAAAACGACCATTACAATGTCTTATATCCGCTCCATAGACTGTATATATAAATATGATTATATAAATGAATACCACCACTAATACTACTACCACTACCACCACTAATACTACCACCACCACTACCACCACTAATACTACCACCACTAATACTACCACCACTAATACTACCACCACCACCACTAACACTACCACTACCACTACTAATACTACCACTACCACCACCACTTCTACCACCACCACTACTAACATCAATACTACCACTACCACCACCACTTCTACCACCACCACTACTAACATCACCACCACCATCTCACTATTACCATAACCACCATCCCCGTCACTAACATTGTGCTTATCTGGCGCCTAGCCTAACCTAACCTAACCTAACCTAACCTGACCTAACCTAACCTAACCTAATCTGACCTGACCTGACCTGACCTGACCTGACCTAACCTAAGTCAATATCAGGTTGTTTGATTATTTTTTTTTTGGGGGGGGGTGGTGTAGCACATGAAGGCACAGTCTTACAATGATTCTTATAAATGGCAAATATAGTCTTCTCGTTCGTTAGTTTGTGTTGAGTAAATAAAGTGTTTAATGACAGGAAGTCTCAGTTTAAAAGACTATTTTTTTTTATTCAAGTGAAAATAAACGGATGGATAGACGGATGGATGGACGGACGGATGGAGGGACGGACGGATGGGCGGAGGGACAGGCGGATAGACGGAAAGAGGGTAGAGGATTAATTTCACAACATTGCCTACTCAAGCATTTCCCTATGTAGTGAGTTAGGTAAGGGGTGAAGTGTGCTGCATCCTCTTACCTTAACTTTCCTAAAACAGAGAGAGAGAGAGAGAGAGAGAGAGAGAGAGATTCAGTAATGGCAACATAAGTAATCATAGACTGTACAGTACCTGAGATTTTTTTCTTTATTGTAGATGAGAGAACGATTAAATGAATGTGGTAGTGGAGGGAGTGTGTAGTGGTGGTGGAGGGAGTGTAGTGGTGGTGGAAGGAGTGTGTGGTGGAGTGGAGGTGTGTGGTGGTGGTGGTGGTGTGTGTGGTGGTGGAGGGTGTAGTGGTGGTGGTGGAGGGGGAGTGGTGGTGGTGGAGGTGTGTAGTGGTGGTGGAGGGTGGTGGAGTGGTGGTGAGTGTGTGGTGGGAGGGTGTGGTGTAGGTGGTGGTGGAGGAGTGTGTAGTG